TCTGCCAGAGAGGAGGAGAAGCCAGGAGGAAGCAGAGACAGGACACCTGACCCAAACTGGCCAAAGGGGTATTCCATACCACAGCACGTCATGCCCAGTATATAAACTGGGGGGAGTTACCCGGAAGGCCCAGATCGCTGCTCGGGTCGGGCTGGGTATCGGTCGGCGGGTGGTGAGCGGTTGTGTCCTTTTCCCTTGTTATTCCTCTTATCATTATTATTGGTAGCAGTAGTGGTTTGTATTATACCTTAGTCACTGGAGAGCTGTTATCTCAACCCGTGGGAGTTACATTCCTTCGATTCTCCTCCCCATCCCTCCGGGAGCGGGAGGAGGAAGGAAAAGGGGGGGGAGTGAGCGAGCGGCTGCGTGGTTCCAAGTTGCCAGCTGGGCTTAAACCACGACACTTGTCCTTAAAACTAGGATAAGGACAATCTGAACAATAAAGTCCAACAGTAGTGTTGTCCTCCTTTTCCTGATCAGCAAATATGTTATCACAAAACCTTCACCTTGTGGGTTTCAAGGCAGGTAACTGCCTGAGTCCAAAAATCGAGTGGCGTTCATAGGTCATAAAATGAGGTGCGTAAATTCATCCTCAAATTTCTTGCCTGTGTTAAGCCTGGTTTTGGGGAACTAGTATCTTTTAAATCTTTCATGATGCCTACTCAGATTTCTCCTGTATTGAAGGAGCTGCTCACATGAACTGCCTATTTCTTTCTATGACACTGTCCCTTGCTCAGTGTCTTTCATCCTCAGTGGCCTAAACCACCTCTTCAACCTTGCTTGACCGCAAGCATGACATAAACTCAATATTTGACACTTTTTCACTGACTGGGAATTCAGGATTTTTATTTCCTCCCACATATTTCATAACCACATACTTTTTGGGAAGTTCCCATCTCATCTAGATCTTTGCACTCTCCATCCTGCTTATTCTTACATCCAAAACCAGTGCTTTCTGTGTTGTTGCCCAAAAAACCAGAGAACAAGATTCCTATCTCATTCTGGTCCCAGCCAGTTCAACTGATAATTTTATTCTCTTTCCCCTGAACAAATTTTATGAATTCCTGTGTACAAAAGCAAACGGCCTATTCCTTGACTTCTGCCCATTGCAGTTCCCCCCTGAACGCACTATAGCATCCCTCATACCTTACCTGCTGCCTTTAATCCACATACCAACAATTTACTTGTATTTAAGGACAGAGGCTGCTGCAGGCTGTGACTACTTAAAGTACTATCATCTTAGAAAGGCTGTATGCTAGGCAAGGGTCTTACCTGAAGTAAAGAAGGCACATTGAAGCAGAAACAAAGCCTGCACTTCCCTGCTTTTTACAAGAAACTTTTAAAAGCCTTTGCCACAGACAAAACCACACAGCTCTTTTCTCACAGCTGTAATTATGGCTCACTGTCACACTAGCTGAACCAGCTTATCTCACTGGAGGAGAAATATTAGAAGAACCTATACTATGCTTAGTGCTCTTATACTCCATTTTTATCCTCATTCCTGAAGTTGTCTGACCTGTAAGAACTACTGTTCAAACACTGCTGTATTTCTTAATGCAAGCTGGAAGCCTTGATCATTTCAGAAGATGAAACTAGGCAGTAGCCTATTTATACAGTTGAAACTGCCTCAACCAATACAGTTTTGTGCAACAGAAAAGGTTGCAGCAGTGCCATAACTTCCTAAGTCTGTGCTTTCTACCTAACTCAAAATGAAGGCAGGTAGCTTCAAGCATTTTCAATAAATACAGGCAATTAACAGTGTTGCTGATCTGTTATCAGAAGTTCCATAACAACTTTATCCTGAAAACAGAAAAAAAAGGCTATAGCACCAGGTTCTGTGGAGAAGATAGTTCAGACTGTGGGTCCAGATGGGCTGTTTGCTGTGTCCACGCATGGATACAGCAAGTGGATCAGAAAGACTAACAAAACATAAGCAGTGAGACTTAATGTCCTTGACTGCAAATGAACTGGGATTTTACCTGCTGGAATTGAGAAAAACAAATGTCTTTCAAAACTTTTCTGAAACTTAACATAGTTCAGCTCTATGGCTGCCACAAAAATCAACCCACTCTGGTTACCTCAGGGGAGACACTCTAAAGATACTATAATCTCTGGTTTCACGTTTGCTATTGGAGTCTAAAAAGACAGTAGCTTTCTTCAAAATCTCAGGACTCGGCAAAACACTGTATTTGTTCAGTTACTATTCTACAAAAGATTAGATACACAGAAGAAAGACAAAAGTTTTCCAGCGTGAAATGGAAAGAGCTCACACTGGTTTGCACCTGGCAGGAAAAGATACCACATTATCACAATCTGGAGGTACTGTGTTTTGCCAGATGCCATTTCTGTGCTCGTTACCAAAAAGCTCTAGGGTATTTCAAAGCTTGCAGAAAGATCATGTTAGGTTCCATGTCCGGAGAAGAAGGTTTGTTGCCATTTGGGTTTTGTTTCGTTTTGTTTTGTCTTTTCTTTTTAAGCACACATGTCATTTTTCTGCTTACTTAGTGGAGATCTGAAGTATCTTTGAGCATATGGGGACTGCAAATTTATCTTACATAATCTGTGAAGTCAGGACTATATTCTGATCCAGATGGAAGCTAGAGCAGGTTACACAAGACTATTGAAATCAAGCTGTTGTATTTCAACAAGGCCAAAAAACATCTGTTCTTTGTTGGCCAAGACACAGTTAATAAACATTATTATTAAGCAAGCATCCTATTGTGCCTGCCATCATACATGTCAATTTCTGCATAAATTAGGACTCTAAACCCAACAGCAGTGAAAGAATTAATTTCTGAGAAGTATGGGACAAAATAATGCATATGCCCGTCAACCACAATCTCGTATCATTCTTTTACTCAGTCTTAAAGAAAAAGCATCCGTCAAGCTTAAAATAATTTAGAAACACTTCTATATTGTCAGCAGCTCAAATTTTGCTCAAAGCCTCTAGTTAAAAAATTAATAAAGACAAGGTTTTGCTGCATAAAGTTGAAGGGAAATTTATGAGACTAAGCCTCTGAATATTCTGAAAGTCTCATCCTCAGTACACACAATCTGTTTCTAGCAGATTATTCAACCCCAGAAGGTAAAGACTTAAGTGAATATTCACAGATACCCTTGACTATTCTGGATCTGCAGAGGTTACAAGACCTTTGACTGTTTAACAAAGGAAGAACACTAGCAATAAACCACCACAAAGGATCTTTTGTGAGATTAAGATCACTTAAACTCAATTCAGACCTCAACAGTGCAGAGGGAAAGTACAGCAGAAAATGAGTTACTTTTCAGTACGGAGCAGTGCACTACAAAAGCAGCTTTTACATTTATTTCAGGGTTTCTTCTGACACAGCAGCAGAATGAAGCTTCAGAGGCCCTTTACACAGTCATTTGTCAGCCCAGGTGGCCTGGCCATGCACTGATCCTGCAACATTTTTTCTCAGGCTGCCCCTTCCTTGTCCTTTAACATATCAATTAACTTTGGAGGCTCAATGACATAGCACTTACCTACCATTGCTTCCTCAGTTTGCTGCTTTAAACCTTTGATTTTGGAAGTTGTTAACCCATTTGAAAGAGCAGACTCCCACAGTAACTTTTGTTTTCATATTTCTCTAAGGAATATTGTGTCTCTTAATGTAGTACCTCGGCCAAGGCAAGAATGTACCATAAACTACATAATCCTCTTATCAGAGCGACTTCCTGAATGAAATAAATCCCAGTATCTGCTTGCACATACTGAAGATGTTAAGTTTCAAGCTTCAAACTCATGCCTGTGACTGGATTCCAGGAAGGCAAAGCCTCCCTCAAAACTGTTGCTTCCTGATGGCAGCATGTACCCAGGAAGCAGGAAATGTAAATTCCAGGATCTCATTGACCAGCTGGTGTCTGATCTCGAGGACCTGGATAAAAGTTCAAAAACTGGCTCTCTTCACACTTCTTTCTGCTGGAGCTGGGTCACTATGAACAGGGAAGGCAGATTCAGAGTGCTAAAAAATACAGACCAAAGAGAGAAGCCTCTCTCCAAAACAGGCTACTGAGGTTTACTGGCTCTTGTTTTTGCAAACTTAAATCTACATGACACTACTTTAGACATTTCCAAGGATTTTAGGTACTCAATGCCTGATATGGTCCTTCAGTGTTGGATCCTAGGATATGGTTATTTAGGGAAAATTCAGATAGTCTGAATACATCCCTAAGCTACCTCTTTGATTACTGTTCTATAGAAAATTAACCAAAGCCATCAAAGTGACACTCAGAACTCCTTCCAGTAGCAACTATGGACACTAGGACACTCGACTCATCTCAGTTTGAGAGCAATGAATACAAAGAGCAACTATGTTTTGGGGAACTTGTACACTCCTTTGATTCCTTTCATTATGTGACATTAGACCAGTTTCAACTTCATTCATTTCAAATTTGAATCATCTCACACTCCTCCATGGATGAAGTCTTTCGTGCCTCTTTGCATTCTGACCTGATGCCCATTTTCTCTCTCCGTATTTACAGCTTGAATTGGTCCAGTCTTCATTTTACGTTGCTGAGGAAAGCAGCTGAATGCCATGGCCTCACAGAGAAAGCTGGGAATGTTGCAACACTGACCCAGTAAACATCGTCAAACCTGATTTATTTACCTTGCTATTCATATGTAGGAACTAACAATGGGCACCAAAAGGAAAAGACTTTTTTTTTTTACATCTGGAAGAGGTGGAGCTGTACAATACAGATGGAAGCACTGAAAAGAAATCAAAATTTATCTAAACATTTTGCTGCCATTCGTAGTGTTGTTTGGGTAACTCCATGTGTCTGAAATAAAGGAAGAACCTTAGGGCATAGAGATGACATGGAGTCTTCTCAAATGCTCCCTGAAACAGTGGGGTGAAAAATAATATTGTTTCCTTTTGAAGTTTTCCTTATCCAAATATATCAGTCTTTCAACACAAGAATGATTCCTTAACAAGGACAGTAAGCGAGAGGGTATCAAAATAGGAAATAAAATAATCTTTAAATAAAAGTTTAATTCACTCTAACTTTACAGAATATTTCAAAGCACCATATCATTTTACGTTCAGTTCTAAAAAAGACAACAAGAGACTGGAATGATTTTAGCTGGTAAAATATAGGAAACCTTGTGAATAAATGGATACAAGCTAGGTGAAAGCACAGTCATATTTTTGTACACAACGACTATAATCAGAATCTAGTATTGGTTTATTCAAATTTTGCTTTCTTAGAAGCAAAGCTTACATGTTCGTAAACATCAAATTAAACATTGCTTAATTTTACAGTTTGCTGAACAAATACTTTCTTACCCTGAAGGGCATATGTAGAGCCATCTCTCTTGCAGTTCTCCTGTTGACCTGTGCTTCAATATTTTTTTAAACAATTGGTTCATTTACAATTCTAATGGTGCTTAAAAATTTCTTCCAATATCGTGCAAGTCATAGGCAAGCCCATTTTGATGTGTGCCCTTCCTTACGTAGTTTTTTGATCATACTTAACTAATGCAACTGTGAAAAATATACATTTTCAGGAAAATGTTTTGATTTTGGTCCTGTAATTAAAGACCTTCTATAACCGAGTTGTTTACATGGATTCGAATCACAAGCATGTACACAACAAAACCACTATACCAATGTTTCTTGGTCTATGCATAAAAAGTAGGTCTTCTACTTACACTAAAACATACAAAAAATAAACTACAAAAATTGTTTACACTTGATTTCAGCAAAAAAAGCTTTCTTCAAGAAAAATGATTCTTCTTTTTCCAGCCATCAAAAAAGGAATGCAAGTAAACAATAAATACATGTGCTTTCTCCATATAGACATATTTACACTTGAGTCTTTGGCTTATGTTTAAGTTTCTTTATAAAGATCTTTATGTGATCCAGCCATCATTGCACATTAGAACAAAATAAGCCAGGTTTGTTTTTTTTTTACTATATATAATATATATATGCAACACTTGAAACGTATAAAGAATGAACCTTACTATCAATTTGCACTGTTATTGTACTTTAACAATGTATCAAAAGAAAAAAAAAGAAAAATGAATACCATATAGGAAATATTGATACATGCAACAGATGGTCGCTCTACTGTAATTGAGAGACGGCTGCATATACAAACACTGAAAAGTCCTAATCTGGGCAAACCTCGTCTGACTGTGTTTTTCATTAAATAGTATTTGTGTGGCACTAAATGTTGATACTGTATACAAGCATAGAAACAGATTGAGTTCTTTTATTAAGATACACAACTTCATAAGAAAAATACTTTGCATTTAAAATTTAAAATCCCTCCCCCCTTCCCCCAAAATCTTTCTTCACAGGATCAAGAACTGTTGTCAAAACAGCTTATTGAGATTCATGTATTTGGTGAACTTTGTCACATCCATTCTGACTAGGAGGATTCCAGGTACTCCAGTGCAACATCGTAGCAGAAGCGATACTGTTCCTTTAAGGGGAAAGAGAACAAAAAAAAAAAAAAAAAGAAATTAAAATTCTAAAGTTTTAGCAGGAATATCTACAAACAAGAATAGTCTTTGCTAACTACTATGCAAGTTTAACTTGAAGTCTGACATGCGTGTTTTGGTTTTTTTTTTTCCTACTACACAAGTAAAATATATTACCAGCTCCAAATTACAACCTCACTCTAAGCAATGAACTGGAAAAAACCTGACCGTGAAATGCAATGACTTGCTTCTCTGATTTTTAAAGCTTCTGAACTAGTTTATCAAACATGAAAAGTTCTCCTGTCAGTCGGAGCATTCTTGCAGTAAAAGCACCTCAACTCTGACATACCATTTATAGCTAAGTTAGCTGATACTGAGCAGTTAACTAGTGCCCGCTGCTTGGCAGCCAGTGAATGGCTGGAGAATACTGAGCTGTGATGCAAAGCTGCTCGGGGCTCACAGTCTGTTCATACAGTCATGTGGATGTCGGATACACATTTAAAAGATAAGTTAAAGCTCAGAATTTTATTGTGGTTAGTAGCCATATTTATATGTGGATCTCCTTAACAAGGCTGCTGTTCAGACCTGACACTGCGGGAGAGGGAGGAGGAAGGAGAGAGGAGAGGGCTTGAAGAAGAAAAAACAAGGGAAATTAGTAAAAACTCTATTGTTCTTGTGACCTAACAAAGCAAACCTGCCTTTGTGATTTATTTTTGTTTGCAAAGGAAGATAGCACGATGCATTTGCAGGAAGCGGTGGGGATATCTTAAAGGCATTATTGCACTGCTCGTTTTTGTTATCTGATCATGTTGCTGAATGTAGGGCACATAACAGTGTTATATATTGGCTTTCCTGGTTTGTTTTCTAACAACTCGACAGCTGCTGCTCTTCAAGAGTTCTGACTAAAAACCCACACAACAGAAACACATAACTACGGAAATTCAGTAACTGCAGACTAAAGCTACAATGGAATTCAGGACTATTTTGAAACGAAATATAAGTTTACAGACCATTTATAAGAAACACACACAATCTACCTTGGCCTCCCTTTACAGTGACACAAGGAATTTTCCATGTGATCTGACCTGTTTTCCTCACACAGCAGTGAACCGAAATTCAGGCAGCAATTCAGTATGTTGTGTCTCAGATATCTACGGTACAGCAGACTGCAAAGTATTTGTGGCAAACACAGCAATACCTAGCCAAATGTCACTGCTGCTACAGGATGCTCTATCTGTTCACATTTGAACCACCTTAATTTATGTGGTGGCAAGGGTTGGAAACAATGCACAACAATTAAGCAAACCATGCCACAGGAGCTACTGATACTAAGCAAACAATGACACCTGGAGAAAAGGGCAATATGGGAAGAGGCAGCTACCGCCATTTTGCTCAATATGCAAATTCACAAGGTCAGAAGCAATTTTCACTATGCGTAAACTGCAAAATGTTTTTAATTTCAATTGGCATCCCTGAGTTTTATGCTGTAGGCGGCCATATGGCTGAAAAGTGACACTGGCTGCTGGCAGTGTGAGAGTCAAATGGCAGAATCTCCCAAACACTGTCTAACCTGCTTTCACATACACCTGCAGGAAGGAAAAAAATCCATTTGGAAGAATTTTTTTAAGGACTTTCCACAATGTTCAGTTTTCATGACTGAAGGATTGATCACTAGGATAGATATGCACCCATACCATATGCACAAAGATTGACCAGAAGATTGAAGGTTATTTTGAGTTCTGGCAATGCACATATAAATATTTAATCTTGTGGTTTTGCTAATTGAGGCTTATATTGTTTATATTAGTTCATTGTTTATACTGTTTATTTTTTAGGTTCACTATTGGACTCGATAATCTTAACGATCTTTTCCAACCTAAATGATTCTATTCATTTGCAACATACTAGATCCAAGTTCTGAGGTATCATTTTGACTACTAGAGATCCAAGTAACAAAGCAGCAGTTGTTATTAAGAAGCAAAATAGTCACATCTCTAGCTACTAATCTAGACTTTACAGCTCATTCGTACCAAGAAGAAATGCCTTGCTGTGTGAAATTTCAAGATGCTTTGTGTGAGCACAACCCACTGCAACTTCTCTTCAAATATAACAGGTTATTTTGGGAGATTAATGTGCATTCTGTTAACTCAGAACATTTCCTGTGAAAAGCATGGTACCATTATAAAAGGAGTAAAATGCTTAGCCTGGCCTCTCATGATACTGACTTGTGAGTACGCTCAATAAATGTCCCTTTCTTCTTGTGGTACAAACAGGTGTTCTTGAGTTTTGTGGGTGCAGGACTGAAAACACAGCTCACACAACAAGAGAGACTCTGGCTCCCTGGCTGTCTGCAGTAACCCTGATGGGCTGGTGCTTACCGGAGTTTCTACCATGTTGGGCTTACTATTCCGTAAAGTCTTCACGGCATGGAAAACGTCCACCACATTCTGCCTTTTTACCATCTCAACCACAATGCCGATGGCACAGAACATCCCGCTCCGGCCACCGCCGTTTCTGTACACAAGGAAAAGAGCTGGTTAAATGTCACTATGGTGCAAGAAAGTATCCAAAATGCACTTCTGTTCTTTTGCTCTGTAAGCATGAGTGATTTGTGAGTCTCACAGGGAGACTGGGCTTTAGCAATCTCCTTGCAGCTCCAGTGGGTTTGGTCTGAAACATTTGCTGCCTCTGACCTTCCTCTCAATTACTTTATTTTAATTCTGCCCTTACAGCCCACCATGCAGCCCAGCTATGCTATAGCCTAATTTGCATAGACATTAGAAATCAAACCCCAAGTTCAATGGCAAGTACAACATTTTCCACTTAAATCTCATTTAAATTATCCTATGGTATGAGGATTATCTAGACAGGGTAATGCCAAGGCGTCACTGATTTTATATCTTGTTGACCTTTGGGGATACTTCTGAACTATTTTAATCTAAATTTCAAAGAAATTAAGGTAGGTATTTCTTCTTACTAAGTTTAAATTAGACAGAAAGTTCTGCAGATAATGAGGAGAGGTGGGCATAAAGGGGACAAAAATTAATTCTGAATGCTGAAACAAAGTCTTTTTAAAAAAGTAAGGAGAAATTCAATTTCTAAGTTTTAAACTCTACATTTAAGCAAGGTAGGAGAGATATTGGTCATTCTCTGCTTAGGGAGAAAAAGACGCCACTTTTTCAAAACTCCCCAAACAGCTGTCATTTAAATATCAGACTCAGATAAACAGCCAGCAGTCATTCACCAACAGTAGCTTTAGGATCATGTACTGTGCTATAGAACTTTTCTCTCATTTCATACATCCATAGTTTTCAGACTAAAATCCTCAAAATATAGTAGGCCTTCTAGAAAAAATTCAATACACAATATGCAAGATACACACAAGGTAACTATTTGGCACTTAGAATAAAAGACTTCCTTACTGAAACTGTACACATTTTGTACATTTTGCAGCTGAAAAACATTCCAGCATGTACAGGAGACAATACACAGTATTATTGAAGTATTATGTCCAAAATACTTATTCCTATGGTACCTTGAACTAACACAGACAAATCTGAAAGTTGACCAAAAGCCAACCTACAGTAGCAGTGGTACTTTTTTTTTTTCATAAAAGAAATAAGGGCATGTGCAAAAGAATGTAACCATAAAAACACCACTTCAACTAATTTAGAAGCATTTATTTGAAGAGCAATTTGACTTTGTCCCGGTTACTCACAGGCAATGGATAATGGTCCGGCCTTCCCCTTCTTCACATTCCTCTTGCCATTTTTCAACCTGAAGAATTAACTTCAAGAAGGATCTCTTGGAAGCTGGCACATCTCTGTGAGAAGCCCATCCCAAATACTGGAATTGCTGCACCATCAGATAGCCCTCTTGTGGCTAAAGGGAAACCAAAGAGCTTTAGGTCAATATGGCATCTTTACATCTTGGTTTAGAAAACCAAAATATAAAACTGACATGAAACCTAAGTGTTATATTATTGTGTGTAAACACCTAATAATAATCAGGTGTTAATCTTAATTTCAAAGAAATTAAGGCAGGTATTTAATATAAACACCTATAAGTAAGGTAGGTAAGTAAGTAAATAAGGTAGGTATATAATAGAAACACCTAAATGTTTATATTATTATATATGTATGTGGAGTGAGTGAGCGCTGTTCGGTACTTAGTTACTGACTTAAATCACAACAATTATGGACAGATTCCAACACGTACATACATTGCACAGTAGGATCTCTATTAACTTGTATCACTTGAGCTCAAAGAAGATGTCAAAAAGGAAAAAAGGGAAATAGACTGAAGGCAGCATCAGAGTTTATCTACTGCTAATGTAACCTATCCTGACTTTTTCAAAATGTAAAACATTCCCTAGATTCTAAGTGTCAAGGGGTTTTATCCTTAACATCAATAGTCAATTAAAAACATCACTGTTAAATTCTTAGACCTACAAAAATGAAGAGATACACCTTTTGGTTCCTATGCATGAACTGACCCCATTATAAATTAACAACAAGTAATACTAGTGAACAAATATGACTGTTTTCCTTGAAATCTTGACAAATTATGATAATCATGACAGTCTTGTGCCAGTCTCTGAGCCTTCTATGTGCTAGATGCCTCACAGGGGGAGCTTTGAATAGAATTACACTGTCACAAGAAAGGCCTCAATAAATGGAACAATAAATAGTCTATTCAGTCTCTTGGAGCTGAAGACTACAGAGAGGAGTAGGAATATGGATTTTAGAAAAGGCCGAACAGAGCAGAGAGATATTTAGAAGGAAGACATAAAGGTGAAAAGGCTTGTGAGACAAAGAGAAGGAGAGGAGTAGAAAATCAAAACATGGTAAAAAGAAGAAATGGAAAAAGCGAAATAGAAGTACCCCCACCCCAACCCTCTCCGCCCCCCTCCAAAAAAAGAAGTCTCAAAATATAACAAAAAAATGCTGTGGGGTAATATTTGCCCGTGTGCCTATGCTGTAGCTTCCTGTAGTTTCCAAACAAGGTATGAAGAGCCAAAAATGTTTTTCTTAGCTCTGAATATAAGCAAAATAAGTTTGGCTATAACACTGGCCAAACAAAAACTGATCTCTGCACCTTGAAAAATGAAAATCTGACCAAAAGAAAAAAAATCCCCTGTGCTTTGTATACACACATCAGTTTTCCCCATAGCTATTTTTCAACACTAATGAAAGTTAAGTGTACATTCCAGATAGTAATTGGTGGTGGGTAAGTTCAGTACTGGATGATACAAAGTAGTAATGGTAAGTAAAATAGGGATTTCTGGTTAACTGTACATAAAAAGGTCACACAAGCATCTGTAACTCTTTTAGTGTAGGCAACATAAGTGATTTATCGTAGTGAGCTAAAGGAGAAGATGCTGTGTAGCAAACAAGGTTTGAGAAGATACTGCAATAGTGTGAAATACTAAGTGACAGCAAGATGCACCAAAACGGTGCAAGGTGTGAAAGACCTGACAAGAATGCAAGACTGGCACTGTGACTAAAGTTGAGAAAGAGATGATCAATGTAGGTCAAGGTACAGTGGTGCAGAACCCTTGAGAGGCAGAGGAGCTTTCAGAGTGTTTTCACACTCCACTTTGCAGGGTGCCACAATCCTCCTTTTATGTTGTGGTTCTCACATCTGAGGCTGAGAAGGTGCTGATTGCATAACCAGCCTCAGCCCTCCTGTTCCTGATTCTGCATGAAAAATGACTTCGGAAGCTATGTATGTCTGTCACTACACATTCATTACAGGGATATTTCTATTTCTTAGATACTAATACTTATTATTGATATCTATAATGTTTGACTGACTTTTTGGGGTAATGCCTTAAGAACATGAGTATTTTACTATTATTCAAAATTAAAAACCACAAGACCCTAGACAGTGTTAAGAAAGACATATTTTTCCATTCTATATTGTTATGATAATGCTTACTCTTGTTAGATTGCATATCCTGAAAATTCGGTTTATGACGTCGCAGTCCATTGAACATGACATGCATTCCACTTGGATGGGACCATACCGCAGTATCCCTTCCTCAGGCCAGTACTGTGGGCAGCCCTGCGCCAGGCATAATTAAAACGTAAGTTACAACTTGAATGCTGCCTTATTCCACTGCAGACATCTCATCTAACCTTTACTGAGCAACTAGAGTTAATTAGTTGCCGCAGAGCAGAGAATAACTGTAAAGTTACTGCACTGCTCTGCATTTTGATCATGTAGTGGATCCAAAGTGATTAAAGCATGTGATGGTACATGGAAAACTTGAGCCCCAAACTAACCTGTGCTAAGTCGACTTCATTTAACATCACAAGAGACGTACAGCCGTAGTCATACACTAATCTCCAGAAATCTTTCACAGTGTTTGGTAGAGGATGTTGTGTGACAATAAAAGCTGCTGGCTGCCTGTAGCTCTGTAAAGGCAAATGATTTTATTAGCACTCATAGAGGAAGTACTTAACTTCCACTCCAACACTGCAACAGAAAAAACATATAAATAGAACAAAGCTGCAACACCAATTACACCAGATTCCACCAAAGCTGTTAAAGTTAAAAATACATGATTGTCTCCAGTAAGAAGAAAGAGGTTACTCTATCCAGGTCTGCCTTCTGTTTTGTTCATATACACATGGGCGCTGAAGATGTTCTTCAGGGCTTTGCTGAGCTGGGGCTCAGGCAACTCTGCTCCAGGCACTGTGCTGAGAAAACCTAGCAGGATACCTTCTCCCCATGTTACAAAGAGGGGCACAGATGTCTTAGAAGGTCAGCCCATCCGCAGCAGGTTACACATGAGGTCTGTGACTAAACCGGCTACTAAACTCAATCCCAAATTCTGTTTTGGCACCACAGCCACAGGGTATGACCTTCAGGACTACTGAGGCCCATTTGCATCAGAAAGCATAAGGTAAACAGCAGAATACTATTTCCTGTCATGACAGCAGATTTTATTCTCGGTATGTTGCATTATACACAACTGCAAATAGGGATTTCAAGCCTTGCATGCAGTAGCTGAGCAGAGCGGCTAATTCCCTGGAGCATGTGAATTACAAGCAGCAAGCAGAAGAGAATGTTTTTTTGCAGGCAATTTGCAACTATGCACAAGAGTTTTGCAGTAAAGGAATACAGATATGAACTGACAAGGAAGCACTGACAGGTTAATCAGAAAGAGAGTAAGATTGGTGAATATTCTTGTAGGTGGATGGGACTGTAAGTCACCAGTTTGAAGACAAAGTGCTGGGACTGCTGTATGCAATGCAGAGATCCCTGTGTTTAGCATCCATGCTAGTACCAAAAGCAGTTTGGCTGTTTTTTTACTGAATAGAGTAACTTAACCTAGGAGAAAGACCTGATAGGGCAACTAAAGCATATGGAAGCTTGCTTGTTTGAAGATGGAACCTTCATATACAAAGTATCGAGAAATCCTCAAAGAGCGTAGCATGAGGCCCAGAAAAAAACAAATACAATTCTTATCACTCTCCTATTTGCTCTAAATTGTGAGGATAACAAATTAATGTCTTTAGCATCAGTACTTGTTTGACAACAGAAAAAGGAGGCTGACAAATTTTTTCCTCTATGTTTGCTAAACATTTCTAATGCAGGAAGCATACTGGTGTCCTACTTCCTAGATCTGCCCAAGGAGCAAAGAGGAACAATCAATATTGATTTTTCCCTTGTATTTTTAAGAAATAAAACATGCACTAGCTGATATTTTCCTATTCCTATTCCCCATCATTTCTGGTCTTTCCCAAAATAAGAGAATGCACTGAGATGATCAGGTTTTCAAAAAGAACAGGCAGGATATCTGCTGTCATGCTGGGAAGCAGACACCTTCTTGTGGGAACACAGGGACAAGAACATTGTGGAAAGGGAAAAGCTTCCATTTCTGTTTTGCTATTGAAAGTCCCCTTTCTTTGCCTAGCAGAGGGGTCCCTCTCTCTGAATAAATCAGTCTTACAGAAACGAACAGAAGAGAAAGGGCAAGAAAAAGCATTGCCCAAAGTTTTAAGCCTGTACTTATGGCCTTGTTATATGCCTACATTGTAATATATTACTTTTTTCCCCTGCTGCTTTTCTTCTTTTGTTACTACCATTTCTGTCTTTCCTTACTTGCCTCTGATTGCATACAGCATTGCTAGGTTCCTGTCCCTGCCTGCCACACACTGTTACATGTTCAGGGTCCTCCTGCCACCCACCCATTCAGCCTGAGCTGTCTTCTTTTCCCCCCAAACCACACTCCTCTCTGCACCTACGTTGGTTGGTCCATAGCACATCAGTTTTATCCAGGTGCTTAATGTAATTTTAACTGCAACTGAGAACAATTTTGGTTGCTACCAAAATTCTGCTCACTGTTTTAATTCATCCATTCAGCCCCAGTGACTCCCGAATAGATTGGTCTCACACATGCTATTCCTCTATTTTTCTGGCACAATAGCTAATTGTGAGATTAGGCACTGCATTTTTCTAGGAGTTCAAATGTTTCCTGTACTCTCTCAGGCAGAACTCCAGGATGAATATACCATTCAGTCCTGATGATTTCTGCTGCTATTTGTCATTTTATTTCATCATTTCTTGATGCTGCAGTTTGTGACAGCACTTCATTTCTGAGGAAGGGGAGATGCTCCTGGAAATCAGGCCAGTTAAGTATCTACTGTTAAGGTGGCTTTAGGGGCCTAACTTTGGAAAAGCTAATAGCAGGCACAGGCAGGCATCTGACAGCACATGCAATGAACTGCTTTATCGATCAGTCACCTACAAGCAGGTTCACCTCCACTTTTCCTATTATCTCACCTTTTCCCCTGACAATACTTCTGTCACTCAAACTTCAGCTTTAAAGAGCTGCAACTCAAAATATGAACAACAAAAATCCTAACTCTATCTCCAAATATGCCAAAGAAACATTTTTTTCTTCTTCTTCCCCTGTCTCTCCTGCCTCAATATACATAGCCTTTTTGATAAAATAGTAATAGTAACATCCTGCTCAGGTAGATAATATTTACTTCCCAACAAACAGCAGATTTCTAAGATCCTGTTGAGATTTGGAGGGCTGGAGACTAGAACTTTATATAATGCTATTGAAAAAAGGGAGATTTCCTGTGGGTTCCACAAGGATGCAAAAGAGTAAGAATAACAAACCTTCTGAACAAGCAACACAAACTGGTGGGGTTTCTTACCCGTTCCCTTCATCCTTCTTCATTAGGACTGTTTTAGTGGGCACTACAGTAAGAAAGAATTACCCTTTCTTAAACCAGCAAGTGCTCTCTCTCATATTACATAGCCTTTCATGGCACACTACACAGACAAAGAAGATAGTCTCTTACATCCATAAGAGCAGCATTGATGTAGTTGCTGCTCTCCCCATCAATAGTGATTAAGAAAGGCAGACATCTGTCAGGTGGCAGCATATCCATGAAGCGGTTCTTGTCGTGGTTCCTTGGCAAGCAGGCTATGCTGCAGTCCTCCGCTTGCAGGCGAGGGGTCACAGAATTCAGGGTCTAAGGGAGAAAGGGTGCTCACTTTAGCATGCTGAACTAACATAATGGACTTGAGGTTCCACAAGTTTTAATTTTAAATATTGCATTATCAGAAGAAGTGAGGCATTAGCAAGAAAACATTAGCAAATAAGAGCTCCTATCTGTTTGTTGGATGTGTTGGGGCTTTTCAAGCAGGGGTTAAGCTGCAGGTGTAAAAGGCATTCTGCATACCACTGAACTGATTCCGCATGACACCATCCCCTCTGAAAGGAACAGGACAAAAAGGATTTTTTGTCGCCCTAAAGAGTGATGCCTTAGCTGTGCAAATATAAGCCAAAACTCTCTGTGGTTCCTAGTCAGTGCTCTTTATTCCAGACCGATACTTACTGCAATTTTATTCAAAGGAGGATAGTCCATATTTAAACAATTTTGCAAAGCATATAAACATAGGTCCATTTTTGTGGACTAAAAGTAAGAGACCAAATGCTATAAACATGATATAAAACCCCTTTCCCTTAAAATAAATTAAATGTATCTAGACGCAAAAAAATTGTTGTCCCATGAAGAGTTAGTAGGAACTGTGAATACCTGAAACTCATCTTTGAGATGCGAAGAGTTTGTCTGAGAGTCTATTCTAATCATATCAAAATAAGCAGCTTTGAATTCGCAGACAGGAATGGCAGTTTCTCCACACAGGCAGGCTTCTAGAATGGCATCATGAATAAAGATGTACTGCTCCTACCAAATTAGGCAAGGAAACAAAAATTATAGCCATTTAAAAACAACAGATCTTTCCTTCTTTTAGGATAAATGGATGTCCCGCACACCCATTCAAGGTAGTGTCCATCAATTAATAATTAAATAATGCTTCAGTATAAACACAATCTTGTCCTAATTGGGATGCAGTTAACAAGGATGTTTTCATGACCAATTTAAACTCAGTAAAACTTAACAGAACAGGCATAGCAATACATTTAACATGAGTTTTTCAGTTTTCTTGTGATGCCTGTGGGATTCTGCGTATCTGCCAGTGACATGTTGGCTTTCCTCATTTTGTTTTTTTTAAAAATAGCTTTCAGTCTTACCATACTAGCAGAAACTGTAAATTGCTTTAGGCACTAGTAGTGTGATTAGCAATTATTTGGCACGCTGCGCTCTCCTATGTGTGTGCAAGCTAGTACACCAATTGTCTGATAGCCGGCTCTAGGGCAGTAATAAATTCAAGCATGTTCCAACAGAAATAGCGTTTTGTCACTTTTTTTCCCCGATTTGCCTTAAGATATCCTGAGTCCTAGACAACTGCATTACTGTTTCAATCAGGCCTCCTGTCAATTTTAACACAATCCCTATTATATTTACTCACCTTGAGAGTAATAGGCGTAAATCATGTCTACATAGCACATTGCTAGAACTGCACCACCTTCACCTAACTAGTGTGGATACCAATAGGTTATTAACAGCACAAACTTAAACATATGCCTGTAACGAGAGCACTTGTCTAGCGACCATGGCCGTATTCTGGCCTCACAGCTTCAGCTGTTTTACCCATATAGCTATGGACCTACTGCTATCACTGTTGTATAGATAACCATCACAAGAACTTGCTGCAATTACAGCTTTATTTGCTGTTTAAGTATGAACCTTTGAGAGAACACAAGAGGTAAGAGGCAAAACGGAGAGACAGAGAAAGAAACAGCAGTAGGGGTGTTAATTCACATGCAAGAGGAGATTAAACTGGGATGGTTAAAGCAGTCACATTGAAACACTCCACCCCATGCACTTCCCAAAGGTTAATGGCCATATAGCAGAGGTAGCTGATCAGGAACGTTTACTTGTTCAATTGCCACAGGTTGCAGCATCGAATAAAAACTGCACCAAATTAATTTGATATTCATGGCTGCCAACTGCAGAGATTTCCATGTGGTCACAGATGAAATAACTTCTCAGATACATGTCCGTATGGAGGACAGAAGTGGCAAACCACTTGTCTTAATCAGTAACCTATGTTTCTCTGGAGGATCAGTGATAATTAGGTCACAGAATGGGAGCTGTTATAGCTTCATCACTAAAGCAATGGTTTTACTGTGGAGTTGTTGAAGGCATAGCAAAAGACAAAAAGGGCAGAAAAAGAAAAAGGCTTGGCAATGAGGTTTATTAATAAAACCAGCAAATAAAACACATATTGGTGATTATCTGAAAAAGGTTTGGCAATGGGGTTTATTAATAAAAACAGATAGCAAATAAAAACAGAGGTGAAAAGGGAGAGTGAAGTGGACATAAAGTTCCACAGGTAAGTAAAATTATGGACAAAGTGATTGGAGAGTCTAAAACTAGTGGCAATGCTGAAATTCCAGCTTTGGGTTCCTGAAAGTGCTGATACCAGAGCTAGGGAGAGGTAACAGACAGCCCTACTGTAGGGTCCTCCCTGAAAAAATCCTCCTTGCTTTCTTTTTGTCACAAAGTTAGGTGGGCATTTCTTGGTGTGGAGACTCAAGGAGCTGGCACCGTCCTGGTTCTTGGTGCTGTTTGTATTGAGCAATGTTCCCCAGCAAAGATAACCCCCCGACAGGGCCATTACTTGCTCTTTTCAGAGTAACAGCGAAATATGACACATTTCAGAAAGCATCAGGTGCTTTGAAGGTAAACTGCCATACCTCTGTCTGGACCATGTTGATGCGACGAGACCGCAAGGCTTTGACACAGTTGTAGATATCCACAACACCTTCTCTTTCTGCCATATCTAACATGATATCAATCACAATATAACAACCTGTCCGTCCAGCACCAGCACTAAAAAGAATCAGTAAATACTGTTAGGAATAGCCCCATGAAAGCACCCACAAACATTATAAATCCGTCACTGAGAACATTTTTATAAAGTCATTCAGTTCTTTCATCACAACCACTATCTAATTTTTATCTTCTCTTCTTCCTTTCATAATGTCCTTTAAATGTTTTGATGTGCCCCAAAAAACCTATTTACATCAGATTTGATCCACTAAGAAAAGATTGTTTCCTCCTTTTATCACCCAGATCAATACTTAAGGTAAAAAAGAAAAGTTATTTAAACAGAAATCTGAAGGATGATTAAGTTCATGCCATTCAAAATATCACAGATCTTGTTTTCATTTAATAAGACCAAGGATGATTTCTAAGTGATATATTAGAGTAAGAAACTCAAGTCTATGTTTTAACAGCCAAGTTTTAAGCTGGTTCAGGCCACACATTTAACAGTATGCAGAAGAATCTCTCAATTTATTTTGGTTTTATATAAAGCTATAGACAGGTTTTGCACAGTGAATTCTTGAAATCTTTAAAGGCTGCATAACTTTTGTCTACAGAATGTAATTAAACATTTGACAGTGCTGAAAGAAAATTCTATTTGTCAAAGAAAAATGAATTTGTTGTTTGTCCGAACAACACAAACCTTGCAAAACTTGCACAGAAAAAACAACATTCTGTATCTGTTGCCATTAACCTCATACTATCTTCCTTCACCTACTTGTTTACTTTGATTCAAATTAATAATCTGTTTAAACATTATGTGCAACACCAAGCAATAAAAGCATCTGTAATTCTTGAATGCTGTCACAAAATTGTTGTAGGCTACCTAAAATGATAGCATGAAGTATCATATGATTTAGCTGGTGCAGAAAAAAGAAAATCTTTAGAATCTGGTTATTTCCAAACATTGCTGTAGACAGCCAAATCCTACTGCAAGGTGAACTAGGCAATTCAAAAAGGGAACAACAAAAACAAACCACTTCAAAATGATGGATGCTTCACAAGAGACTACTGTAAATAATCACATACACAGTTGTGGAAAAAATCGATCTACCTCTTCTGTACACACCTGCAATGGACAACAATAGGCCCTGCGCTGGGAGGGTTAGATAATTTGACTCTCCGTATAAAGGAAAGCAGGCCTGTGGCATTGTAAGGAACTCCATGATCTGGCCAGCCAGTGAAATGGAATTGTTTAACTTCACGGATTTCATTGTAGCCCCTCTGTAAAAGGCAAAAAAAAATTTTTAAAAATCTTAAAAATTTATGAAATTCAAAGTATTTCACAGACTAGATGTTGTCTGACTCAAATAATGATATCACAAAGACAGAATCTACATGCTGCTTCGTTTCACCAATTATTTAATGCAAAGACCATATGAAGCTTAAAAATAAAATATTATTAGGGCTTTGGGGTTTTTTTTGAAGTTCTTAATTTCTTTTTACCTTTGCCATTAAGTATGCTAGTTTTGCCTCATTAGATTTTTTCCCATGGACTTAGATGCAATTTGCATTGACTTTCAGAACTTTTGCTAATTAAGACCATAGTAAGTACAATGATTTACCCAAAGACCATAACTGTATCACATACACTGCATTCACAGGGTTTGTTCTTTGATTAAAGTGAGATTGACTTAGCAGCATTAAGGGCAGAGTGAATGGAGATGAATGACAGGTGTGACTCATAACTAGTACTAGAGCTCAGCTCAGAAGTGTGACTACAAAGAAAAGGTGACTGTTAGAGAGGGGAGGGTAGCAGTCAACATTTCTGGGGAAATTTGAAATCCCACAGTGCGATGCGTGTTTGGATAGTGCTGATGCAGTGCATTGCATCCACGGTGAGGTAAGGCTGCCTACACTGTGGACCTGCTAACCAGACAGAGATTTGATACTGCACAGGCACATGCACAAGCATACCCTCCTTCATATTCCTTGCTACCAGGGAACAGTATTTTACTAAGCCCTTTCAGAATGCACTTACCCTTCCCAGAGTGAAGGTCCTGACAACGTACTCTGCAAGGGGCTCCATCTCTACACAAGTCACTTTGAAATCCCCATAAACTTCTGTGTCGTCAGGCCAGTACTTGTAACACTTGACCTAAATATAAAATGGGAACACATTTTACACAAAAGGAAAAATAAAAGTTTGAGGATACGTTACTGCATGTACTGCATTACACTGCATTTATTTCCACAATGACCATGCACTCATGTGGCTTGTCACAGCTAATGGCTGTTCTGTCAAGTCACGCACTTGTTACAAGGAGTTTCCACTGCTTCACACGGTTGTACTTAGATGCCAAATTAATTCCTAAATGAGCATTTATATTCTTTTTAGTGCTGAGCTATGGAATACATTTCCGCTTATCTTAAACTGGGATGCATTTCATATCAGTAATCAAACTGTAGCAGGTAATCCCAGGTACTTTATATTACTCCCCAAGGGATGTGTTACTGCTAAACTGTAAATAATTTGCTGATTTCTAGCCACTGCTACAGAGGCACATTTACTCACTAGTCCACTTACTCTGTTCATCTGAGTGTCAATATACAAATCTATTTTGCTGAAATACGATTTTTGGATTTTCCACCACTCATGAATGCATCAGTCTTCTTTAGAAATTGGCTTTGGTCTTACACAACACCATAACTGCAACAATGTCTGGACCCTTTCCCCTCCTCTCAGGATGCAGGGCTGACCTTCACAAGACTCTTCTACATTCTGCTGACAATGTGTCTTAACGGCTTTCCTTTAGGCTCATAGCATTAAAACAAAACAAAAACTTACTCTCCCAACTTCCACTAAATTTGTGACCATCACAACACAAGCTGATTGCTCCTGCCATATCATTCTCCAAAAGTCATACACAGTCTCATGAACTGGACCTGTAAGAAAAAAATCCAGGTAATAATCTGCAAAAAAACCCCTGCAGTCAAAGCAAACACTAAAAGGAAAATTCAGTGCTCTTCAGAGCTGATACAAGTGAACACCTTTGTTCAAAGAAACCTTCAGGAAACCACATCACCATACCGTCACACCAGTTTCCAGACTATATTGTTATTTCTAACCAAAGCTGAATCTTCTCAGTTTAACTGAATTACCACTTGAAAGAAATTAATAGCAGTGTTCTACATAGCAAAACACCAGAAGTTGCAAGCTGCTTGAGAACTACAAGGACACAGCAACGTATCACTACCTCTAAGTTGCATTTCTAGATTTGTTTTACACTTGTTAAATATAATGTGTTGAGTGTGAGTTTCTTCAGATGTTCACTGAGGAGATACCACACCAGAGTAAAGTATTGGTCAGGAGGGTGGGTGCTACAAATTATATGCACTTACCATCAAGCTCCCAGCAAAGTGGCAAGTATGAGTAGGTGCTGAGCCAGAAACTTCCCACTGAAGGGTATTTAAACTAACTTAACTGCTTTTCTGTGAAGCAAATAAGGAGCACTTTTTTAAGCTTTGCCTCCTGCTCTGCTGCAGAGACAAGACACAGTCAGTTGAGTGACAGAGGCTTTTACCACGTTACAGTCATCTCAGAAACAGCTTCCTGACCACAGGCCAGCAGTAGTATAAACACTGCTGTACATCAAATGTCTGAAGACTCAACCATATTCCTTCATATGCTAGATTGAAGGGGCTGCATAAAAGCAGCAATAATTTTTTGTGTCCTTTACACAATATTATGTGCAAAGATTTACAAATATAGACTTAACTGCCACAGACCTGTTTAGACAGCACTTACTGTCTGTGCTCCTACTTTTATGTCCACATAAAAAAAAAAGTGGACAGAAATTTGAGCATCTTGCTTTAAAATAAGCTTTTAGTTTGTCTTTCCTGTGTGCAGCTACAATCAGCTGAGGGCACAAATAACAGGATATTTCCAGCCAGCTATCTGATTATACCCACAGTTCAAACAATGACACTTCTAAATCTAATTATTTTCACTTTCATTCATAGCCTCCGATATTTCAGTGCAATCTTAGTCTAACCTATTTGTTTTTCCTCATTGTGAAGAATTTTATCAGAAATACAACATGAATAATTTCCATAGAAATTCAATTTTCTCCTTTAACTCCCCTTTTTATTAGCAGGGTGTTATATGATAATGATTTCCCTCACTACTTCCTACAAAGAGGCTTTGTCCTTCTCTGGCCTTACTTTACTCAGATTTTCTGAGATAGCGCTTAATTTATCATGACTGTCTTCACTGTTTGTGTCCTGGACTAAATCCTAGACAGTAAAATAATACACTGTAATATGGAAAGAAAAATGCCTCAAGGCAGGTTGAAACTGTTCTCTTCCCTGTCCACATGCTTCTTTTCTCTATTCATCTTCATAATTGGAAATCATAGTAGTAGCTTCTGACTTTATCAGCTGAATTTATCACGGAAAGATTTGCTCAATAGCTAATTAACATGATAAATTAGTGCAATTTTGGCATTTATTCACAATCCACCTGAATATGCTATGTTAATTTACTATACCATAAGATGACAACTCACAATATTGGATATGCTTTACTTTCCTCTACTTCCATTTTACCGAAACACTGCTTCACACTACAGAGAACACTTGTTCAGTTTGATTAATGCTGGCAGATTCTTACCTTGGGTTGCAATGTAGTGACTTGGTCTCTGATATCCCTAAAACAGTAATATAAGTTGGTTTAAGTACCATATTACTAACAGAGAAGGGAATATAAAAGCATGAATCTACTACAGAATTCTTATCTCTAGACAATGTTTTCAGAACAAACCAATATTTAAGAGCAGCATGAAGCTCAAAAACCTGAAAAAATGGTTAATACTGAAAAGGTTCAAATGACAACAGATAAGATGAAAATAAGAATATCTGACTTGAACACACATTGTAGCATAACTGGAAAGAGTATTCTAGATGGGTCCCTTGGGCCTAAAAATTAGTCCTCTATTGACATTACCTCCCCAGATGAATACATCGGGGCATTTATTTAAAATTTAGTAAAAATTGCCTTTGCCATAAGATTATCTCAGTAGCTGATCTGCCTTCCCAACTTATCCAGTATGAAAAAATACACACCTTTTGTCTTATTTTAAATAGAGAATTATTTTAAGGCACAAAGAGGTATGTACCAGAGTCATAACTAATGGGGACAGAGCTGGACACTGTGTTGTGTGCACAGAACCAAGCTCCTACTGCAGTGGAATGTTCTGCAAAATATTCTGCACTACTGCACAAAACGTGCATCAGTTAGACTGGACATGATACACACAAGTATATACACATACATATGTATATATAGATACAGATAGATAGATAGATAGATAACCCTACACACCTAAGCCTTTCCAGTTAGCTGGGTCTATGCTATGCTAGCAGTACTCTACAGCATTAATCGGCTGCATACAAACTACAAGGCAAAGAGCTGCTGCTCTGGAGGAAATATCCAGGATATATTTTGACCAGCAACATTAGCTACAAAGAGGAAGGAAACTTTAGTCTAGCTGGTGAGAAGACAACACAGAATTTCACAATGTGCAAATGTTAAAGAAATTACTCCAATTACTTTCTAGGTTACAGTTTTATTAGTCCACTTATTTTAAGTATAGCATTGCACAGAAGCACAAGTCCTCAGGTTCCTGGTACTCACAAGATGCTACTAATGTGAAGGATTTCAATGTACCAAAATTTATATCCTTTTCCATGGACTGCTTCATTATCCTATCTAAAGTGAGAGCACCTTCCTCTGGTGCTTATGAAAAAATTTCTGAGTATCTTACCCTTGGCTTTACAAGAGACCAAGATTACATGAAATGACTAAAAATTTTCTCCTGGGGTCCTTCATATCAAGTCCTATTTTCAAATTACGAAAATGAAACCTGTGCTATACTGTTTTGTACTCAGTAATGCTTTCAAGAAGAAGGTAAAAGTGTCACTTTACAGTTGCAAACTGCCAGTTTTAACTTGTTGCTTTCCTGTCTGCTTATAATGAGATTCAATTCACTTCTAAAAAGGAGAAACAACATCCTCAAGGAACTAGAATTATTACAAATCTGGGAGAATTTCCTTGTTTAAGGCCCCAAGCAAAATATCATGGGCTTAACACTTCACAGAAATTGCCATGTTGTTAAAATATCAAAATAAAAAGACAGCAATATACCTGGAGCTAAATTTTTATATCCTGGAAAGTCAAAAGAGTCTTAAATAATTTATCAACTAATACTGGACAGGAAAAATTAGTAAGGTGCAATAGTAAAGAAAAGCAGCCAAGCCATGTGTTTTAAAAACTCTTTTACTAGCTATTCCAGTATCTTTTGATTTACTTTGGAATTACTTTGAATACAACAAATTGTTTATTCCTAAGGCATTCATCAGATAAAAGTTATATTTTGTTAATCAAGACACCTGGAAGGATTTGTTCAAATTCCCTGTTTGTATAACTTTTTTTCATTTATAACTTAATTTGTATTTTAATGAAAGTGTAGAATTTCAAACTTTAGAGGTTTTCTGCAGAAGCAAGCAAATTTCTGCGTTAACAGTTTTATATATATATATATTTGTGTATATACTTTGTAACACCTAAATTGTTACTAAAAACAAACAAACAAACAAACCCCCACAAAAGGCCATCATCCCTCCCTTTTTGCCAAACATATATTACAACTACTTCACAGGTACATTTTCAGACGAGTACAGTACAGCATACAATCCAGCTTCTCACATACAAATGGGAAGGGGAAAAGAAAAGCTAGTGGCTAAAATCATCATTAAAAAAAAAAGTGAACAGCAAATTCTCTTTAACTGAGAGGTTCACCTGACTTATCTATCAATATCTAATAAAATTTAGAACTATGTCACAAGGCTAAAATATCTTTTCAAAACAGGTACAAAAAATATTCACACAAAAGGAAATTTTTTAAAGGAACAGATGAGACAACTTAGATGAGGCATGCATAGTTATCGACTGATAAAAATAGAAGAGGAAAGTAATTAATAACAATATCTATATTAAATATTTACAATAGGATGCCGTTATTCACATATAGTGGTACTTACATCCCTGTACAGCCAAATCTACAGCCCAAACCAAAGTCAGATGTGAAAGAAAGCACAACAATGTCAGTGAGTACTAGGACGTAGAACAAGGAAAGTGTACATTTTGTTCTTAATAAAAGAAAGCTTTCAATAAATTTGTAGGCATAACATGCAATAATTTCACATAGAGAAGCTGGCAAGTTGAGAGGGAGAAAGCTGTGCAATCCACTCACATCTATGTAGTTGGCATTAATGTAATCTGAAGATGGATCATCTTCAACAGGTTGCAAAATCACCCTGGAGTGGTCATCTGTAAAAACCAAGTGGTTACAGTGCCTTTTTGAAGTGTGATTTTTAAGTAAGATACTACAGTAAGTCATCGAGAAAACCAAAATCAGCTGGCATAAGTGCCTCACAATTTACAATCCTTAAATAATAAGTGTTTACAGAGAACTACAAAGAACCATTATGTCTGAGGTCTCCAATTACTTCAAAAACACTCACTAATCTTCATTAAGTGTAGCTGGGAAGTATCACGCTGTTACATGTGGGTAAAAAGATACAAAGAAACCAGGTTACTTGCTCAAAGTCCCTTTGAACATCAGCTCCGCTGATGGTAATCTAGAAAACCAGAAGTCCTGATTACTGTTTCCTTATGTCCGACCCTAGATGGCTTCAGTTCATATTGAGACATTAAAGAAAACAAGGAAGTCACACATAGGGGTTAGCGGTGCACTTGGGATTCCATGAAGAAATAACTCTACCCATTCAGGGACTTCTCCAGTAGCTTCATTCCTGTGTGTTCAATTACATTTGTAAAATAATAACAAATTGCCAATTAATAGAATTCACATCCAAATGAGTGCTAGCTTGTCACTGTTATACGCTTACCACAGCTTTCACAAGAGAGATGCAAACGTGAAATTCAGCCTGAGTTATAAAAGGAAGAAAGTTGAACTGTGAAGGACAAAAAAAAAAAAAAGGTGGAAAAACCACTTGTCCTCCTTCTCCACTTGGGATTTTAAGCAGCTATGCCGCTGGAGACTTGTAAGGAGAGAGAACATGGCACAAGTAACACAAAACTACAGCTATCGCTCAAACCAAGGACACCGATACTCACATGCTATAATGTTTCCATAGCGGTTCTTTGTTCTGTTTTGATCCTTCTTAGCGACATCCCAAGAAGCTGACTGCCCCTCAAAGAAACTCTATAAATAAAAATGTTCCGAAAGAAAACATTCTGACCATTAATTTATCTCCAAACATAACAGTTTAAAAGACCTGCCCTACCATAAAGTAAGTTCAGCTTTGCTTGTCCGCTCTGGTCACCCAGGCAGTACCATGGTACAGAAATATATCTAGAGTAGACAGGAGTCTCTCTCCCTCTGACTGCTACAGGTCAATGGGCAATTCACTAAGGGACTCCAAAGGCATTTCAAATCCTGGCATCGCTGGAAGACTAAACTTGCTCAGACATCCTTGCTATGGAGGAGCAACAGTAAGCTGAGAAAGCACAGGGAGACCGGTCACCCTTCTTACAAGACACAGTAGTATATAACCTGTTTACTACAGCGTTACACTGCTTTCCTCATATTGCTCAGTAAAACGGCTTTTCTCCCTACAGAGCCATCAGGAAGCCTCCTCTGCCAATATTCATTGTTCATGCTGTTTTTCTTCATATCCCTCCTTCTAGCCACTGGCAAAATTATTCTACATTTTTGAACTCTTCTTAAGAATTTGACTCTCAGTAGTGATAGAAGCAGCTTTATTCCTCCTTGGCTTTTTCTTCATTGCCCGTAGATATTTTACAGCTGTTGCAGGTCTATGCTATTTTTTCCTTCAAGATGTTCTCTTATCCTGATCTGGGTAAGTTACTTTCAGAAAGTACACAGTAGCCATGGAAACAAAATTTGAATGCACGCTCAGAAGCCCAGGCCAGAGCAAAGATGTCATGTATGGTAACAGAAGAAGTAGTAAGTAGGAAAACATCTAATGTGGCATCAGGGACCACCCTCCCCCCCAGCAGTGGTTGACACTTGGTCTTAGCCCTGAAGTTAGGCAGAGCAGAACGAAGCATATTTAAGTAAAAGAGAGGAAAAGAGAATAATATTCTTTTAAAAACCAGACATTTATTTATTCCAGTTCTTATGTTACAGTAGAGAGAGCTGCAGAAAGGAGAGAAGGTTGAAAACTGAGTCAGAAGAGGTTACTTACTCAGAGAAAACTCATTTTAAACCTAGCTGTATTGCAAGTGACCTTGGCAGTACCATTCCCATTTTTACTGTCTGCCCTGCCTGATATTCTAATCCCAAAGAATCACAATAGATTCAGACCAGAAGCAAAAGGAATCTGTACTAATCTTCTACATCTAGTGCTGGGATTTTTTTGCTTCTACTTTAACATTGTAAGTAGACATGCTCAGTTCTAATTAGAACTTCAAGACATTATTACCCATGGCACGTCTTTACTGCTTCTCAGCTGGAGTTTAGTCCCACTATTGCCCTCCTGAGATGCTATAATAAATCATGACAGTGCTTCCTGTCAGTGCTTCTTGCAAAACCAACCATGTTAAATCTTTAACATAATACAGGAGATTTGCACTGAAGATGGCTCAGAAAGCTCACTAATTACTAATCACTAATAGCAAACTAATTACAATATTGTAACTAAAAAGCAGCAATAAAAGGGTGGCAACTTCTTACAATATGTCAAAAAGATTCAGCAGGCCATGTCTTCTTATACCCTAAGGAATACACCTTTTTTTTCCCAGGCTCAAACCATTGGACTCCATTCACTATTTCACTTTTGGGTTACATATACAGGAACCTTCTGCCTGCTTATTTTTGTCTGTTTTTCCCTTAAACCCATGACATTTAGTTGCATTCTTTTGCAATGCAGTGCAAACAAAGGGCTCTCCCTTTCAAAGGGATTTTTTCCTAGCAAAACCCCACTACTGAAGATCTCACCTCATACTCCTCTTTAAATCCATAGCTGTCAGAGGTCTTCATTAGGTTAATATGCTGCAGGAGATCAGCCACCCTGATGGCAGGGTGCAGTTGTCCAGTCTGGTATGGGGATTCTGTGCCTTCACAGAGGTAACGAGGGACATCCAGGAGCCGGCTGGACTCTGCTGTCACACTGTGATTTTCATCTGTACACACAAGAAATCAATGCATTAGATACCTGCGGAGCAGTAACACCTGCTGCCATACATATCACATCTATTTTCAACCTCTTCCTTCAAAAACATGTCTGATTTCTGAGAGTGCAAAGCGCTTTCTCACCAGCACATAAATACTGTGAAGTACATAAAGGAATTTAACTGCAAACACATTCAAAAGTTTGCAATTCTTCATCCTGCAATAAAGATGTCTGAAGGGCATTTTATTTGAAGCTACAAAACCTTATGACATTAATGCACTTGGGAACTCCAGCCTCTATCACCCAAAGTAACTTTTTTAATGGCTAATATGTATCAACAGAAATACTACACCTGGAACAATAAATTAGAATAACTCTGTAGTGGTATCAGCACATCATTTGTCTAAAACCAAGAAACAGTAAATTGATATCCCAGTAAAAAAGAGAAGCAATTATGCTACCACTTCAGAACACCACCTCCATTTAGAAGACGAATCAGCACTTCAGAGTGGTCATTTTAACTGAGGTCTTTTAGTAGACAAATGAAACTGTTGAGTATGCTGATTTCAGCCGCAGTTTTTGCTCTGTATAGACAAAGACCTCTCTAACGCCCTATGCTACACATCAATCCTCTTATCAAAACCAAATGTCAAACCTGCATGAAATGATCACATTTTGCCAATCCCTTCTGTTGAAATAGCTTTAAAAAAAAAATTAGAAATCAGCATTTCAAATGTATTTACAAGAGGAAGAAAAATTCTAATTGAAACCTTTTTGGGAAAGTAGCTACTGAAATGAGAAGTGGAAATCTCAGTGCAAATATCCCTCATTTTCCTTGCAAAGGATCCATATTAAGAAGTAAAACACTCCAGGAAAAAGGACACCCAAGGAGTGGATCTTCTAAAATTTCACCAAAATGCAAACCCCATTAATGCCTTCTGATATGAGGTCTCCTAGTAAGAAACCCAATTCTTTGAAGTGTCACACAAGTTGCTAATTTCAGGACATTTATGTCTCACTAAACTGCCTAATAATGTGAGTGACATGCAGCAGTCACTTTTAATTGTAGTGTTACCCATATTAAATCATACACATTTCAAACCACCTCAGAATTTGCAGTTTTCCCCATTCCTCACAGTATACTTACCAGTAATAGGCACTTTAACCCATTGAGGCAGCAAAAAACAACGAGTGAAAAGAACATGAGAAATTTATTTCAGGACTATATTAGAAAATGACTAAAAGAAAATGACATTAAAAGTTGTTAAAGCTTCACAATAGGTAACAGTGAAAGCCGTTTTAAAAATATAAGGGCCACATTATTATGCCATCAGTGTAACTTGAGAAAAGTAAAATTGTCATACTAACTTAGTGCTAATGTACACAGAATGGAGAGTAGCATTAATAACCTATACATGAAGAAAAAGAAACCTAGTACAGCTGCAAAGCAGTAAGAGCTTCATATAAAATAACATATTCTATAATTTAGAGGCTATAAAATTTTGCTCATCTCTACATAAAACAGAGAAAAACTGTTCTGTGATGCTCTATGCAAGGGCTATACGAGGGTGAATTAGGCCAAATGATCTAGTTCAAAAGGAACATGCTTACAGGTACACAACCCCTTCTACATATTGTGCCAAAAGCTTGTCTACTTCCTTCTGCTATTTCAGTCCATGCAGTTAAAAATCATTAGCTCTTCCAACTAGTATTGCTTTGCCTATACCAGGAGGCTATCATGCCCTTAACACCATTACTAGTATATGGAAGTGCATACAGGAACTGTTAACCTGTTCTTCAATTAATTCCTTGCCGTTACTGATCACAGCTGCTCATATTTGTGTCTGCCACAATGCAGTGCCAACACATTGACCTTTGGAATATGCTTATGGACTAAATGAGCTATTAGGTATAGCTTTACAAGTATCACCAGAGAGCACCTATGTAGCTTGTAAGTGCCTGAAATAAGGCTAAAAGAGACAAGAAGATCAAGAAGAATCTCAGAAGAACTTCAGGAAAAAACTAGTTTTCTGTAGTCCACTAATACAATTTTGGTAAGCATTCAGATTTACTAAGTCTAACCCTTTGCTCTTTCAGGCAATGGTGCTATTTCACTCATAAACTTCTGAAACAACATGGTTAGATTTCCTTGGGCTTAAAGTGGAAGGATCCAGCATCCAACTGCTCTGATAGTTATAAACTGTCTAGGACATTACTGTAGTCAAGAGAATGGCATCTGCAATGTTATCAGAAGGAAATGGGCAGAATATGGCTTTACAGATTTCCCACATGGCTGAGTAAACCTAGGTTGACAAAGACCAAACACTACTCACAAACAGGTATTTGTTCTCAGTCCCATAGGTCACCTTACACAAAGATTGGTTATACTTTCTATCAACATTTTTACCCAGTATTCGTATAATGGGATAGAAAATACCCAGCTCGCATAGGCAGAGGGCACAGATAAGGCACTACAAGCATGTCACAAGTCCAGGATCATATTCAAAGTTATCTCGATTATTTGGGAGATGATGCAAAAATCACATGGTGAATTAAACAGTGAATGCAACATACTGTGTGTAGAAAATATATCAAATATATAACTACAAAACGAAGTAATGGACTGGGTAATGATAACTGGGATTTCAACAGGTAACTCAATGCAGGACAGCAACATAAGCACAATAAAAAAGGACAAAATACAGTTCAGGTAGCAGAAGCACTACAAGTAGGGCATGAGGGTACCTATTCCACTCAGCTCAGCATCGAGACGACTTCTGAGAACTGTACCTGATTTGGGGTACCACAATTTAAAAATCTGTTCTATGAACTGGAAAGTGTTTAGAGGAAAAGAATGGCAAATTTAGAAAGCATCAGCTGCAAGACGACGAGTGAAAGATCTGGGCTTAACTCAACTATAAGAGAGACAACTGAGGACATGTAAGCCTTTTAATAGGTGAAAGACTCTTCTAAAAGGACAGGAGTGTGTCAGTTCTCCATATTTTCTGAGTCTCTCAGAAGGAAACGGCTCAATCAACAGCAATGAAGATTTAGTCTAGGTGAGTCTAGTTATGAAAAACTAGGTGTGAGCAATAATATACCCAGTAGTAACATCCAGACAGTAGTAACTGAGAAAACTGGGTCCCAAATAATACTCATATGGACCTGAATTTTATTTTTTTATCAATTGCCATAAAAAGTCTATATTATACCTATAATGACCCATCGCAAAACAGAGGAAGGATTAAATTGCCTCTAGGTCCCTTTAAGTTTTACTTCTAGGAATCTAATTTTCAACCTCAGTATATATATCAGGAAGTCCACTTCCTGATATTTGTTTTTTATCCTAAAATAAACTTAGTAACTGACTGAAACTAAATACTGCACATTTTGTTTATCAAACCAAGAACTCAGGTACAAATTACACTATTATCTTTGTATTTAAAAAAAACCCTCTAAAACATGTGTTCAGTGTCAGATGTGACATAGAAATCAGCATATGGCCACATCTGCTGTTCTTTTTAAGTAAGTACAAAGTTGAAAACCTGACAGGTTAAAATGAATTGAAATATGTAATTAACATAGGTGTAAAGGAATATTTGTACAGAACCTAGAAATGAAGTTGTTGTTTCTTCTAGGTATTATGGAAGTTTTTCCCTTTTCGATTTTTATTTTCATTCTTGTTAGTTAGAAAATTGAGCTTTGGGTGCCAAATAATGTTAATATGGACCTGAATTTTATTCTTACGTTATTTCTCAATAGAGTTCTAGTTTCACATGTTACTTCACCAGAACTCAGTTTGAATGCTCTGGGGAGAAAAAGTTTAGCATTTTCCATTTACCTATTTCCTCATTTACTCTTCAGTTAGCACTGACTAGGAATAACTTCCTAATGAGAATATAAAATAATCTTTATTCTAAAAGCAGCATCAGTTTAATTCTGAATTGCTAATCTGAATGTAGAGTTATTTTCTGACAACAGCATAGCTATCTTTTACATAAAACAAGCTGTTTCAATGTTCAGTCATGCAAGGAGATGAAACTCATGCAGGAATGGATAACGAAGGACTAGGGTCCTCACCTAACACAGCTGTCGGCACAAGTGGATCATTGGGCACTGTAGAAAAACAAAACTCATGAAGAAATATATTACCCTCAATTTGTGCATTTTTAAGAATAAAACCAATACACTTCAGAGTATAACCAAGTGATAACTAAACCCCATTCATTTTATTACAACATAAAAATAGAATGAATACACAGTTCCAGAATAAAAAAGGAATGAAAGGCAGTGATTTTGGACTTCAGAAATGTAATGATAAAGGCAAAGAGATTCTTACTGAAATGAAAGAAAGAAGACATTACATGCAATTTAGTTTCTGAAAGGGCTCCTCCTTTGCTATTGTTCTTTCGTTTCACAATAAAGGTTTGCTTTCATAGAACCAACTCCTTTCCTTTTAAACCCATCCTCTCATGTAATACCTGAATATCTCATCTCAAAATAAAATGGTATTTCTTTAAAGCTTTCCAGGTAATTTAAAAAAAAAAAAACACCAACCATATTTACAGTTAATAGGTTTTTTATGTGCAATACCAAAGATATTATTCTTAAGGCGTATAGGAAAATCACAGACACTTAGATGCAGATGTTGGAATAAACTCATAGAATTTTATCATTTGTTATCACAACAAATGACAGAACCGTGCAGAGACAAACGTGCTGTTTTGGACAGAAATGTCTGGAATACAGAGTTTGATTTTGCTCCAATTTGGAACAAAAATTTGAACTATCAAAATCTCTGTGACAAAATTGAGCTCCAGTTCTCAAGTAAATTGCCTAAAATCCTGGAAGCTTAGAGGGTTCTTTGCCTCAGCACAGACAATGGTGAGGAGAACTGAACCCTCCAACACCCAAAAAGAGCACATATTGAAGACACTGGAAAATTGCGATGCCAAAATTCTTTGCCAATCATGCAAGACAGCTGTGGTGGCTGGGACTCAGGGGCTCTTGGTGTCATGTCAGTCTATCTGGAAGGCTTCCCAAGTGCCTGGCAACTCTGGTTCTCTAACAGCCGTGAAGGTTCCTGATGGGTACTTTGCCTGCGATCCATCATAACTTAGTCCAAATCAAACTGTCTTTGCAAACCTGCCTCCACAAATTTTGATGACAATAAAACATCAAACTTTGGAGAATTTTAAAACAGTTCCAGCCAAAACTGTATAGAAAAACTCATAGGCTGATGCTGAACTCCCGTTTATAATTGGTTATGAGACACTTACAATGTTAGTACACTGCAGTTTGGTAAACTTTATTAAACTGAGCGATAATCCCCCCTCCAAAACCCATTTCCTTTATAACAATCAGGAAAGAACTGAAGAGCCTTAAGGGATGTATTTTGCTCAAGCATGGTAGGCAAGAGAAGGGAGATGGGAGTGCCATTCCCAAAAGATGTCAATTCAGAAGCAGCTCAGGCTGCTCAGATCTGTTTAAAGCCAAGCTGCAAGTCCATGTGGCCGTGAGAAGATCATGTTCTCACCAGCTTCATGGCAGAATTGCAACTCTTTGGTAACTTATACACTAGTTTTGAGATATTCACTGAGTCTACCAGTGGAGTATCTCACTTTTGTGCAAGGCACAGTGCAGATGCTGGGAGACAAGCATTCTGGGTATAGTAGCAGCTATAACCCAGACACTTAAAAGTCAGAAACCCAAACTGCCAAACTTTGTCAAAATGAGACAGTTGGCAAGTCTATAGAAAAGGAATACAAATACAGAGTAAATTTGCACATATATTAAGAAGCTTGTTCCTAAACTTCACAAACAGCATCGACAATTGTCAATGTTTCCTTCTGTTACAATGTCCTTACTGCCAAAAGAAAGAAATTAATTTGGACCTCATATTATTATTCATTACAGACATGGCATTACGCAGTAATATTTAATATGTTGGTATTAAACATCCCCATGAGGGAAAACTCAATTTCAGATTTTAATTGAGATATTCTACAAGTATAATATTTTTCTTAGAGCAAGTATCAACACATACTGAAAGTACACATAAATATTTAAATAATTGGCCACAGACCAATAAGGATAACATATGAACAGCCCTACTCAGCCTTTGGATTTACCAGTGTTCCTAGAAAACCTGGAGCTTACAACAATTTTCCTTAAAAGGTAGAATTGTTTTCCATGTTTCTTATATTCACCTATACTCCAGAGTATCTATCACTGTTGTACTTACATCTGGGGCTGAAGTTGTGAGAGTCCATAAACGTGATTGAAAGGGGATCCTCTGCATGCAGGGTGCTCTGGTCAGCATAACTCCTATCCATAGCATTCACCATGTGTGTCATCTCCTGGCGGGTGGTCCCCATGGCATCCTTGCGCTTCTTTGCGAGTTTGCTGCCCAGCCAAAAAAAAAAAACCAAACCCAAACCACCTTAATATTGCATGAACACTGATGTCTACAGCAGTCATTATCTATAATCCTGAGTGACTGAAAAGTTTGGCTGATATTCCTGTGTACAACTTTTCCAGCATAAAGTTGATAAACTATGCACCCTGCTATGAAAGAGTCATGACCGTGTGTTTTGTGTACACACACAAATGCAGTAATGGAAGTGTTAACTTCTGTACCCTGGTAATATTTTATTTTCCTGTGGAGTAATTACACTAATATAAACAAATTAGAGAATATAATTACATTTTAACTGAAATGATAAATAAGAAGCATCTGTGCATGCAGTTTTATCAACCATCTCCATTTAAATCGGTGGTTTGATTTTATAAATGGATAATTCATTCCCCTTGCTTGCCTTGTTGGGAAGAAATTATTTAACCTTCTAAATAACTTTGTTAGTAAACCCCCCTATAAAATAACAAAAGAGACATAATTTTTCAATATGGATTCATATTTCTTTTTATTTTACAGGTTGTTCTTCCCGTTCAGGACAGAAGATATAACATGATACCACACTTTGTTCCTGATACTGAATGCTGGTTCTTTAAAAAACAAACAAAATATCCTTCATCACTCTACTCTTTCATGCAGTTTGGGAACATCTTAAATTTTAACATTGACAGTCTTACACTCTGAATCTGACACCATTAAGCAGCAACCAAACCCCCCAAACTAACAGCCAATGCCTTAAAGCATATGCTTCAGAAATATCTCTCAATTATTTCCTTTTGAAGAAGAACTGCAACTGATTTTCACTGTCTCCAGAAGTCAGACGGAAGCAGATGATATAATTTAATTATCACTTAAAGCCTACTACTCTTAAAGCATAAGTGAGAAGTACATAGAGCAGCATGAAATACACCTTGGTTCTGCAGGAACCTTTGACATACATTAGACTGTTCTGAAACCTCCCTATTTTCATCTGAAGCTCTGGCTGCAATCTAATAGGTAGTCAACCTGCTTATCTGGATAAATCCGACACCAGGTGGGAGACAATCACTGAAAATATTGAGTTCTTGAAAATGTATGTTTAAGACATAGCTTAGCTTCACAATCTTTTCCTTCATAAAATATCACCAAATATCCTGTTAACTCTTTAGACAGTATTTATCTTACATTCTCTGACTTAAAACCTGATTGCTCTTCCTCTATCTTCCAATCACTTTTAATATTCTGGGCCACACTCTAACAGAAGACAAAAAGAATTAGTGTAAATTATCCATCCATTTACTTCTCAAGTCCTAGGAACATCCACCAGAAAAGACCTGCACCACTCTCCAGGACAGGAAGCACTTCATGTTTTCGTGTATTTAAGAAAATGTCCAATAGATGATTGTTTCTTAAGTTAATATCCTTGGTTCACAATAAGGGGCCACAAAGTAGGATATAGATGGAGAAATCACTCCTGAGAATAACAAAGATTCTTTCACTGATCAGATTCATCTCCTTATTTTGTTCCCTCTTTTCCCTCTCTCCCCATGTTATTTTCCCCATTTACAGATAGACTGGTTCAAAAATTACTACTTAGTAACCACATTGCTACAAAAATCCCAAAGATGGTCTCTAAACCTATCATTTTTTTCATCAAACCCTTGAGGTGTACATGAGGGTACATGAGGGAACAACACCAGTTGTTCAGTGAAAGCTAAATAAAAAACCCAACAATGACATTTAGATGCCCCCTCTAAAATTCTTGATTTTATACATTTACTCCACACATTCCTATTTACTTAAGAGAAGTTGGTTTCAGTGATACTCTGGTCGAACAAATGAAGACCATTAGAATTTCCAGAAGTGAAACTGCCTGAGGTTTATAACTGGTTCCCAGTACTACCAAAGCTTTCACAAAAGTGGCATTTCTAGTTCAGACTGTTTTTTCAAGTTTCAAAGCCTTTCAGATAGTCTCTGTACACTGAAGATCGCCTTTTTCTAACGCCATCTCAGAAATGTAACAAAAAGACTATTATATCTCATCTCTCGACTATATTAAGCCCCTCTTTGAAGCATCACTTTTTAACAAAACTTGATAGCTATGCTAAATAAATCAACAGCTATTAAGGCTTTCAAGTTATTAGCTTATTACAGTAGCTACTTTCTAATTCTTATGCCCTGCTTTTAACTCCTAAAAAGGCCTATTGTGTTGCAGCACCGCAACCCAAAGCTGCTGGGAAATGGGAGGACAGCTTTATTGTTCAACAGCTCCTGGCTCCCTCGGGTTTGACTTCTTTTTCCTTTCGTTTTTTACCTTCCCTCACTCAGCTAAAGGCACATGCAATCTATGCTTCACAATAGTTAAGCAAATCGTTAGGTTAAAGTACTTGAGGCTGACAGAAAGCGTAAATGAGTCTCATTATCTGCTAAAGGATCCAGTTGGGTGAAACTGTGCAGGTGGGTGTTTCAGTGGGAGCTGGAGGGAAGTGCTCCATCATAGGATGAAACTGTGCGGTTAATTATCTTGAGCTGAAACAATTGTTATTTAACAAGGAAATTATAATTTGTCAAAATAAACCAGAGAATGGCAGTTGGCTAAACTAGCTTAGGGGTTGGGTTTTCTTATTTTTTTATTTATTTTTAAGTTTGTTTAAAGGAGCCAACTAATCTGCTTAAAAATGTGGAAGAGCATCATTACGAGACACCACCAGTTTATCAAAGCACTTGAGTGCATTTTTAGACCCTCTCTTAACTCAAGGGCATTTATTTAAAATTACGAATGTGTGTAACTGCTTTGCTCAATCACAGACAAAACTTCTGCAGCCCTTACAAAAACTCATTTGGTAAACATGTATTTAAAAAAGTCAATTTTGCTTCAGTGAAGCAAAACTTTATGTAAACCAATGTCATAAAGTGAGATCCACACTTTAAAATGTGTATGCAAAGCACCTCACAAGCAATAAACACAGAGCATTTCACAAAAAATATTTCTGTAAAGCAAGAAAAGAGTTTGGTACCGCAGAGGCAGACATGTTGTTCTGCCATTGGTAGGGCATAGACCTATTTAGAAAAGTTTGGCATCTGCCTATGATCTGTGTAGGAAAATTGGTGCACAGGATCACTACTCATCTGATATGTTAAGAATGAACGATTTTTGATTTACAAGCACAGTTCTCTAGCTAGGAAATGGGAAAAGAGGTTTTTTCTTTAGTGTTATGTGTCTCTGTGAATCGTAATGCAAATTAAATTATGATTACAATAAACTGAAATGATAGTTATGGGAAAAACTGTAGCAAAAAGTGAAAGTCTCAATATACAGTCAGAAATACAATATCCCTTTAAAAAAAAAAAAAACCCACAAACCAGGCAAGAATACCAGGAACAAGGATACAAGCAGCCTTTCAATCCTGAGAATAAAGAAAGGTAACTTTTGATAAAACTTTAGGAAAATTATAGAGACTGTTTTTCTTTTTTAAAAAGGGATACTGCATCTTTAAAACATGTAAAATAGTAAGTCACCCGTATTCTACTTACAGATAGTAGGAGTAAGAATAGTAGCTCCTCCTGGCAAGCAAATCACAGACAGTGGAAAAAGAGAAGCAATGGTGAATGAAAAGCGTGACTCTGTCACATCCAATAAAGCAGAGAAATGTGCGTTTAAAAAAAAAATTGGAAAATTCATGTTTCTTTGGTTAGCATTTCAACTTGCTCATGCACAAACTAGCCTTACTTTGCCATGCAATTAAAAAAAAAAAACACACTAGCGTATAAAAATGATTTGTTTTTAGAAAGATCACTTGAGAAAATTACATGCTGAAATTTCATCTATTGCCAAAAATTTTGAAAATTAAATGGATTGTGTATTTTCAACATGCAGTTCAGCATAATATAATGATTACCACCTAGATGTCATGACAAATGAACAGCTGTGTACAAATCTTGTGCAGTAAATAGGTTTTTTACTTTTCAGTTACAAAAATTAAAGATTCCATTAATAAATACATTTAATCGGAAAACAAATTTCATGTCATTCCTTTTAACATCTTTATTGAGTACACAGGTGTATACATATATGTTTGTATACATACTATATGTAGCTATATGAGTACACACATCTTAAAGAATGCACGTTCACAACAGATATGTGTGTACTGACATATATACCACACATTTCCTGAATGCAAACATATGCTTTCTATTTTAAAATCTTACAGTTGGAAATGCTGATGTAGTCATGCTAAGCATTAAAAACATGGAAGGTAAACAAATGGAAGGAAATGAAGGACATTTGGAAATAGTCCAACAATGACTGAAAATAAAAATGGCATTGCTTATTAAAGATGCAGTATCCCTTTTCTTAGCTGGTTTGATTACTCCAGTAAAACTCTTTAAGAGCTGTTAAGAGCTTCATTCCAGAAAACTTTAAACCAATTTGTACAGAATAATCAGGCAAAGCCTAAAACATCTCAAGCTCATGAATAAAACTGCTTAGTACTCCATTTTTCAGTAAAGTGTAATGCTGCAGTTAACCAGTTTGAGATAGCGATGGCTGTGTATACAACTTAAGAAATCAATGACAATGCAGAAACCATTGTTTTATTGACTTTTCAGTGTAATAAGTAAGTTCCAGTCAATTCAGGTACCAAAAGGGATACTACATATGGATCACTGAATATGTATTCTACAGAAGATGATTTGAATGGATTTGGTTTTCAGTCCCACCACAACTAAGTGTCTTGATGTACGTGTGAATGTGTCGGGGTTTTTACAGCTATTCCTGGCTTCATGATATGAATTGACCTGATTCACTAGATGGACTGAATTAACTCAAGTATACAAAGGTTTTCTACGCTTTTTGCAAAAGAACTTGACTAAAGCTGGTATTAAAAAAACCCTGCCCACTTTCCCTCGGGCGGGGGGGAAACGGGTGAATGGCACACCTATAACATACACGATACACAATCAATTAAACTATCATGATGAAAAATTGCCAAATATAAAATATCCATTAAACAGGTTAATTTCTCACCTATTTTGAATACAAAATAGTACAGAAATTTAGAAATGTTATGTGCTTTAGAATGATGATCAAGTGTCATTCCTAAGAGGGTACTGCCTTTACAGGTTCAGAGGAAGGAAGGGGGAAATTTTAAAATATTGTTTCACGGACATAATTAACTTGCGTTCATCAAACAATTCAACAGTGAAAGTACGAGTCTAAAAGGACTCTGAATGCAAGAGGTAAAAAGGATAGGAAAAATGCACACATTGAATTTTAGGCCTTTTTGTTTGTTTGTATTTTGTTACTTGAAAAACTAGCCAATCCCATCTGGAAGTGTCTGACATTATACAGTGGTACGCGGTCTCTCTCCCTCTCTCACACACACGCGAGCACACACACAGTTTTCTATTAAACATAAGGGGAACACTGCATCACGCACATACCCTGCAATAAAGCTATAAAATATAATTCTTTTCCTAAAAGCTGAAAAACAACATTGTGTTTGTTTTTAAAAAGATGAAGTTGTGTAAATAAAATAAATTGGCTGACTGTATGTCATTTTTGCATATGATGAGTTGGACCTTTTGCATATGTGTTAATTCTCAACCACAGAGGTAAACAACAGAGAAAAGTAAAAGCACTTTTGGGAAAAATCACATATGTAGCTAACTAACACAGAACACTATAAGCATACCTAATGTTTCTAATGCAGACGTTTCTTCTCCAAGTTATATATCTCCAGGGATAATTGTAAGGAGGCAATAAATTAAAAAAATCTAATGCAAACCAGTAATTATAACATATAGAATGATCTTAGGTACAGTTTTAATCTTTTTTCTTAATCTTTAGAAGTAATAGCAAGCTGGATTTCAGAAGAACAGTCACAAAATTTACAAATATACTTTGCATTAAGACTTCTGCAAAAGGCAAGGGAACACAATGCACACACCACTGGAAGACAAAGGTCTTGTTCCACCCAAGAGAAATCCGCTTATGCCCTGTGAAGGGGACCTGCTAGGTAGGGAGTACACAGAAAGAGAGGAATTGGTTTCCATGCTATAACTACAGATTTATAGAGCGATGTTATGAACTTTTATGCCAGGTTAAAAGAGTTGCAACTACTGGGAAGTTGAGACTTGAAATACTGACCGAGCAATAGGGTAGCACAATTTACTATAGGTAGGAGCATTTGGATGCGGAGTTAGATTGTACAGTGTCAGAAGATGGCGATATTGCTTACTGTCTAAGAAAGCACTGAAAAAATCAGATTTCATTCAAATTAATACACTTTAAAACAATTTCATGCACCAAGGACTTGCTAGATAATTTTAGTGATGTGGTATGACTTTTAAGAAAAACTCCAGGTTTACAAGAGCATAAATAGAGGTATAAAATTACATTATTTTGCAAGCTGGATAACATACAGATACAAATAACTCATTAGAGCTGGGTATAGAAAATAAAATTCATTAGGTGATTATAACATGAAAACCACAGTAAATTGTTCTTTTTTTAACTTTGATTTAAAAAAAAAAAAAAAAGGTTCCATGAATTTCAATTCCAACTATTCTCATATTCTGTACATTCCTCCAACTGCAACTTAAAACTACTTGGAAATAAATAAGTATGAGAAAATGAATAACTATTGGATCTCAAATATAAAGATATCCTCTCTTTAAATCCATCATAAGAATCACAGCAAACTCAATAGGAAACACAAAGAACTCATCAAAATGCTGATATGAGCTACTGGTTCTGAAACTTTTTTTTTTTGAAGACCTGTAAATAATACCCATTTAGTTATTGTTTGATATGGAGGGGAAAAAAAAAGAAGAATCAGCACAAATAATTTTCTTACCTTTTTTTGACGATCAATATGACAACAAGGAGAAGTAGGATGAATACCAGAATTCCAGCACTTATTCCTGCTATTTTCACCACTCGATCTGTTTGTTTAGCTGGATCTGGAATCACCTCAGGTTCTTCTGTTGCTGCTGCTAAATGAATTAAAAAAGAAGTTGCTTAAATGTGTAAGCACTAGAGACAAGATCAACATAATTGGTGATAATTTCCAAATATGTGTGTTTTTTAACACAGTAGCCAGAATATAGATACATTCATCATGTGTTTATATGTCTACACATATGTATATAGGCACACTATAAATTTCAATCTACATGCCATACATTTGCAACAACAAGTATATGACTATATATATGTGTATACAGGTGCATATATATACATACATATAAAAAACTTCATGGATCCAGAAGTGTATATGCCTCTGGATTTCCAAACAAGTTACTGTATTATTACAAATCAGAAGACAAAGCAGAAATAATCTATCAACTAAATCACTGTTACTTCCTTTAATGTTGTTTTTTCAGTTATTAAATGTGGATTATTTAGCATTGACTACTGAGATTACATTAATTCACAAGCAGTAAATTAAACTCTCTTTTCCAAGCTGCAGCCAGCACCCCTAACTCCAGTCCTTCTCTCCTTCACCCAGTTTCAGTCCACCTTTGCATATTAATTCACCTTACAGCATCTAGCCTGCAATATGCATTCTACTGGGAATTTGGATTCTCCAAATAAGGTCACCCACAAAGCCAAGCCTAAAGTCAGCAGTAGTTTTATTTCTGTTTATAGGCTGTGAGAAAAGAAAAACTGCTGTTCTACACAGAGATGAAACCATTCTGTAACACAGCTGAGCTTGCTGAGGCCACAGGTTATAGCAGAGAGGAAAACAGAATATATGTGAAAGTGCACAGCCATTCAGTCTGCACCTCTTTGCATCAGAGCCTGGTGTACAAAGGATCAGGAACGTGGGATTTTCCAGCCTGTCAAAAATATCAAAAAATATAAATAGGTTTCAGCCAGGGGTAAAATCCCATGAGGCGTTTACTTGTAAAATAGGAAACAGCTCTTCAGTTCTCTAGTTCTTACTTTCTAAGGCTGTGGCTCAGCACTTCGCCTTTCACCTGTTCACAAGCACAGATGGGTACATGTGCTTTTTCTCTCTCTGCCCCTTCTTTCACTCTCCACCCAGCATGCAGCAGGTGCCACTTAACCTCTCCCCCCTCACAGCAGCTGCACATGGAGTAGTTACAACCTGTTGGTATCATCATGCCTATGTCATTACACAGAAAATGTCCTTTACTCTGAAACCAGAACCCGTCTCAACAGACCACCAAAACAAGCAGAACAAAAAATAAGGTAAAGCCACATCACAGGAAGACTACTGCTGCCCTGAAAATCTGCTCCACAGGCCTTTCAGAAAGCCAGTGTAGTCAGTACCAGCAATAACTGGTATCTAATACTTTTTAGTTTTAACCATGTTATTCTGACCATTTCTATTCAGGTTCCATACGCAGGAACCCATAGTATCTTTTGAGGGATGGATCATGCTGTTGTTTAAAATCACTCTATTACTTGTTTCTGTAACCTTCATCTCAGCAGTATCTGACCCACTTACAAACAACTTACCCTCAGAACAACCTTCTGAGTTAGGAATGTGCTCTCTTTCAGACACCTCTGCGAGAGCTAGACAGACAGAGAGAGATCTGGCAGTGCTTTAATCATAAAACATAATCATCATCATCATAAGACTTCATCATCATAATCATCTCTCTCCCCTACAGCTTGAACTCTGCCTGCTGAGAAATACTAAATGCTTTCTCCTTTGCGTAAATACATGCTTGTACGCATACTTGCATACATAACCTGTGTGAACTTAATACTGTATTTTGTTGTATTATGTGTGTTGTTGAGGCGTCAAGGGTAAGAGTCAGGATCAGGTAAGTGGTGTCTGCATGTGTAGCTGCATGCATAGAACACATACACACAAGCTAGAATTAACGCTGGACACGCATATGATGCTGTCTAAGAAAGGAAATGAGGGGCATGACTTTTGAGGTGGAACTGAAAGAAGGCGTTTGAAATTCTCAATGGTTAAAATGAATCAACTCCCAGACTACTATTAGCTGGGCTGGATGTGACAAATATAAATGAACATTTGCTGAGCAGTAGAGCCAAAAGGCCAACCGGTAGAGTCAAAAGCCCAATCAAAGCTAAAATACAGATGGCTGTATATGGCAAGGAGAAAACTGCTCATGTTTGCTGTATAGGGTACTGAAACCCGGCAAGGTCATAGGAAGGGTAGAGAGGGGAGCATGCAGGAGTAGGATAGTCACTGTGTCTGGAATTGCCATGAGTACAACGCAAGCACACCTGTGTAGGTCTGACCTTGCAAAGGTAAGAGCTACTCAAGCTGCAAAATAACTAAAGCTTGCACAAGAGATTTAGTTCTGTAGATGGAGATTTAAGGCCAGGTCTTTGAGAGATTTCAAAATATGAATCACAAGGATTGGATGTGACCTGAAGATGCATTTCAAAGCTGAAGGCTCAAAAATACATCCAAAAGTACAGGCTTTGAGCTTTCATCTCACTCTTCCCTGCAGAAAGATAGAGCAAACTGCAGTATAGGTGCTTCCTACTGTTTGTCCACTTATAATGTAATTTCGTTCAGAACAGTTACTTTAAAAAAACAACTATACACTTCTCAGAAAATCTGAAGGAAAGGTTACTGAGGGAGTTTACCTATTCACCTAACTTTGGCACTATTGTTTCACTATATATTCTATAAGAAATTATTGAGTTTGGATTATCAGTAACTGCTCAAAATGTAGATCTCTGACCAAGTGTTTCACTGTTATTTTTCCAACAACAGTGGAAAGCCAGGATGATATCAACTGTTTGCCTATTTATTCTGGTTTCCTTACATTAAGGGGTTTGAAGTAAGAGACAGTAACTCATTCCATGAACTTTAATGCTGCTTACGAGACAAAGCTGGTGCCCAGTAGAAACATACCACAGACTCCTAAATTAGTGGAGAAAAGCTATATTGAATAGTGATAGACTAAGGATAGCAAGTGGTTGAGTCTCCTGTATCCAAAATGCTAAAATTTATAGGCAAAATGCTATCCCTTTCCCCAATATCAACAGGAAATTGCTTTTTACTTAAATGAAGCCAGGATTATTGTATGTATGTTTTCCAGCACAGATAATATATGCATTCTCTAGACCGAATGTTACATTTGGGGACTATATGAAAGCAATTATAGATATAAATCACTCTGTAATCTATTATTTATGTGTATGTGCATTGCATGTAAAAAGTATATTATTTTGAGGAAGCTACTGAATGTAGCATAGAATCATCTAAGGAAATGTAGGAATTTGAAAGTATTACATGTTACTTTTCTGGTTTAATTTTGATAAAGTCTATTGTAGTAAGCATGTGTGGCTTACGCATACACAACCAAAGGACAAAACCACAGAAGCCTTGTGCCTATGTCTTAAACTTATGGATATAAGCCAGTGTCTCCTGGTTGCTGATTGCAAAAGGACTACAGCAGGAAGAGAAATTCTGCTGACTCTGAGAATTTGTCCCCTCTATCCTCCACAGGACTTTCCTATAGACTGAAGTGCTGGTTTTGTCAAACAAAGCAACTTAATTAACCAAGGCTTCACCAAGGGCAAATCATGCCTAACCAACCTAGTGGCCTTCCATGCTGGAGTGACTACATCACCGGGCAAGGGAAGAGCTACTGATGTCATCTCTCTCAAATTCTGTAAGCCTTTGACATAGTTCTCCCCACAACATCCTTATCTCTAAATTAGAGAGATACAGTTGTTGAAAATTGAATTATTGCGATGATTGGAGTTAACTAGTATTTATTTGTAAACAAGGTAAAAATGGTCTGGAATTATTTAAGTTATAAAACCACACGCTTTACTAATTCCTAACATTCCTTTTTAGTGATCTAGTCTTGCAGTCCTTTTTTATACCTTGAATAGCAGCCTGTATTAAGGGTAATTTACCAGTATTAAAATGTAATTAAAAAGTAATTTTTTGTTTTGAGAAAGAACCTTGTGCGTTAACAGAATGATGATTTTACAAAAATGGACTCTGTTGGCTATTAATTCCTTTAGCCAGCCTGACTCCAACAGACCTTCAATTAAGTGTTAATTTTTACAATATCCTTGCATATTACTGTTTTTCACAATTTGACCCTGTCAGTCTAAGAAGAGATAATCCTTCAGTTTTCAACCACTGCAAACTCATCTTGCATAAAATTTTCAAGAGCACCTGATCTGAAATACAGTTAACTACATTCCCACCCACCCCATATGAATAGTTGCCTACACAGAAGATTTATTTATGAGCTAGACTGGGTGAAGAACACTAGATTTAGCAACTTATCCACTCACCTTTCTTCTGAACTAATGAACAGTAAGAGCAATCATATTCCACAGTGCCATTCACAAAGTTCATAAAATAACTTGATGCAGTGATTCTGGCTCTGCACATTGCAAATAGTCACCATATAAGAAGTTGTTCTCCTTGTTTTCATAGATACTAAAAGATAATTTTCAACCAGTTGACTTCCATGATCAATAGCATGAAGTTCAACTGTGAACAGCACTAAATTAGACTAAGATTGCTAACACTCTCAGGGACAGTAAAATTCTAAACAGTTGGTGAGGTAGAGTACATCTTATTCTCACAATTTCCCAACGTACTCAATTCCTCTAAATTCTTTTATTATGTTTTTAATTAAATATACCTAAAAATCCAACACCCACTTCTAAAATTGAGTGTATGCATAATATTTATACTTAATTCTTAAAGTCTACTGTGGCATAAGGAATCCAGTCACAGCACATACTGCTTTCCTGTCTTCTCCTTCCTTCTGTGGTTCAGAATTTACACACAGCTTTGCAAAATTGTCAGAAAATTTATGAGACTCAACACAAAATCTATTCACTTATACCTTCCTAAGGAAATGGTGCTGGAATCAAGATAATGATATTCTACTTGCTCATCCAAACAAAATTATTCAAGGAGAAAATTCTGGTAGGATTTTGCAGAGTTGCTTGTATGGTACCTTTTAAAGAACAGACAGCCTTCTGAAAGACAGCTTTTAAATCA